TGCTTTTGGTTTATATCTCAGGGTAAATATATCAAGGATCACTTAAGAAAACTCATTTGATAAGCTAACACATGTCCTATTCTAGGGCATCTAGTTGCAATTGTCCTTGTAGAATAGTAACAATTTCCTAATCCTCATCTTTATAGAAGAACAGTTGACTCTCTATAATTTCTCACAATCAAAAGGCCAAATTTGCCATTGCTATGAACATATTAAGCTAGTACCTTCAGTCTCTTACACTTCTCCCTTGGCAAACTTGTAAAAGATTGGTTAGATATCTCAAAGGCCATTGTTCTATTGTTTGCATTTCAGCTACAATGCCTTTGTGCTTGAAGGTTACATAGTGTTGATTGCTAGTAATCTATGTAGGTCCATAAGTGTTGGGATTTATGCCCTACAACTATTCATATCTTATGAATTAATGAATTAACTTATATTCCTTTATGAATTGATAAAGTCGTATCATAAGGTTCCAAGACTAGTAATAATGATAAGAACTATTTATATGATGGATAACATATGTGAGACATATTTCTCAATTAAAGTTCGAAAATGATTCACAACCTATAATTAAAGTTGATAATTTTTTTTTTCTTAATCACCAATGCCCAACGATGTCCAAACCTTTGCACGCATCTCAACTAATCTCTTAGGCTTTGGAATTATCGGTCGAGTAACATCCTAGTTGGCCACATCTATTAGTGCTTGAGGGACTTAGAACTTAAGAACTTATAAATCTTTTTTTGTTCTTTTACCATCAGACCACTCAGTAGTGATTTAAAGTTGGATACTTTATTAAGGAAGTGGTTGTGTCATTTGCTTCAATTAAGGAGTGACTAGCCTAAAGTCATCAAAAGGGTTGACTTTGGTCTGACACACTTGTTATGGAATGTCTGAATCGAACCATGTGAAATTCAAAACTTATGTAATATCGATTATCGAACAAAATTTAGAATTTCACACCTTGACAATCAGGGCATGCTTTCCTTATTTCTTACAGAATCATGGACTCTTGATAATGTCATTGTACCCAGAACTGGCCACCACCGCCAGTCGTTGTCGACCACCAGCGAGGCTGCCGAAAGTTTCATAATGGAGTACGACCGCCGATATGGTTGGCCGTGCGCTGATGAGGCCTTTTCGGGCGGGTCATAGATCATGAAATAATGGTCGAAAACGACCAGATCTGTGGAACTATCGACGTCACAACCAGATCTATAGCATTGCCGCGGCCGTTGGGCGTGGTTTTGGTTGCCGCAGTGGCTTGGGGGTAGGGGTGTTTTAGTTAAGTTTAAAACGTTTTTGGCTTTTAGGGAGTTTTTGCTAAATCTGAAAAGTAAGGGTTAAAGAACTATTCAAAAATAATCATAAAAAATACTATTAATTATATAGATACCCACATATTCATCCTCCCAATCAAACATATTATTTACCAATTTATTTGAACCAACCAAATACTAATTTATTCAAGGTAATATTTCTTACTTTATATAATATAATCCCCATAATATACAAACTCTTTCATTTGGCTCACAAAATGTTATATTACTGAGGAATGTTGTATTACTGAAAATAGATTACTAGAGAATCTTAGAGAAATGTGTTGGTGGTTGAAAAAATTGGTGGATATGTTATAATAATAGTTTGGTTGGGGATAAAGGATGGGTATGTTATATAGATTACTAAATTGCCCTCATTTTTAATAATAATATATATTTTTTTATATTATTTTATTCAATTATTTCTTTAACCCCATTTGAATTTTGTTAAAACACTCAAACATATAAAACTTTAATTTATAGCAAAATCACCCCTACCACCCCAAGCCACTGCCGGCAGCCAGCCACCACTGATGGCAGCCGCCGAGGCTCACGACTAGCCGGATCTGGCTGGTCCTGTGCCGATAAGGCTAATCAGCCAGATCTGGCCGTGATTATGGCCGTTTCATGGCCAAGATGTGGCTGTGAAATGCCATAGATCGTGCTGTGAAAAGCTAGATCTTTTGCCGTGAAACGGCGGCCATTTCACAACCAGTCTATGGCGTTTCACGACCACACCTTTGGTCGTGAAACGACCAGATCTGGTCGTTCTGGCCATGGATCACAAATCGTGGCCAGAAACGTCCTTACCAGCACACATCGGCAAGATCCCATCGGTCTTGTACCGATATGACACTTTTTACGGCAGCTAGCGTCGATGGTAGTCTTGGTGGTTGGGGTATTTTTGTAACTTTTAAACTTTTTATGGCGAGGTGTTTTAGTTAAATTCTCGAATGTAGGAATCTAAGTAATTATTATTTGGTAGACATATGAGGGTAAATGTGTTCGAAATGTAAAAGATTAAGGACAAATAGAGTCAAAATTAAGATTACCTTGATATCTTATATTAACCCTTTGGAAAGGTATTTGATTACCTCTAATATTATCATAATATTATTTGTAATAAAGATTATGTAATATTTATTACTTAACAATGACGAGTGAATTTTAAAAATTAAACAAAAATATATGATTAATCTTATATCAGTGGAGCAATGCCACCTTAAAAGTAATTTTTTAAAGCAAGTGGAAATTATATCATTACAGTAGAGTAAGAACCGGAGACGAGCAAACCAACATGGAGTCATTGAAGCTGTGTAGCAGTCTATCTTCTTCCTTACCAATCACTTCCGCCACCTCATCCACCGCCGAGCCTCTTCCACACTCGTCCGCTGCTGCTCCTCCTCCGCCGCCACAACCACTAGCACTACCCGATCAGAAACCGCCGATCTTCCTCTTCGTCCACTTCCACTTCCGACCGTGACGCCTTCGCACCATTCGTATCAAAAAGGTCTGTACAACTCGTTTTACTTCATCCTAAGTTTTGCATTTATATATCCAGTTATTTAAGGCTTGATTTTGCCTTTTGATAGTGTTTTTGTTGGATAACAATAAAAAAGTTCGAAACTTTATTTGTTTTTGATTGTCATATTGTGCAATTTTTTTAAGATTCTAATCATATAGATTTCTGAAACTTTTAAGCTCTGGTTTCAAGTGTGTAAAGTTAGTTATGGAGGATATGACCGAATGATGACTAGTTTAGTGAGTTGCTTGGTAACAAAATTAAAAAATGCTTTTTAATTTTTTTTTATTCAATAATGGTACTTTTTAATTTCTTTTATTGAGGTCTGGTTGGCTTTATGAAAATTCAAGAATATTAAAGAAGTTAAAACTTTTGCTTGTGATTTGTGAAGTTTAGTAGGATAAGAGAAGTTTAGCATATTTGAAACAGAAGTTGCTGCTAGGAAAACAATGGTTTATTACTGAGCTTCTAACTTAAGCAGGGTTGCTCAGATAGCATGAGAAGAAAAGAATTCAAAGATTTTGTAATTTGTATTTGTATTGCATTTAATATTTGTAGTTCTGGAATCAAAACTAGAGAGTAAATGAACTCAATTTTATTGAATTTTTAAGTAAGCATGCTAGTTTTTTTGTTCTTAGTGGAAGAATTGAGGAGCAAGGTTAGAGCCGTAGCTTTAAGTGGATAGGACTCTACTGCTAATCAGCTACAGGAGATATACAGGCATTTGGCAAACGGTGAAGAGTCAAGTGGTGAATGATAATGTACTGTGGCAGGGAGAATTATTGCTCGCAGAGCATTTGGAAAGCTTGCTTTTTTGACATTAAGAGATCCTCGGGTACGATTCAGGTTTGTGCTTTTTCTTATTCTCCGCTGTATTGTCAAGATTTATGATTTGAATATGGTTCTTTTGCTTGTTTATTATCTATTTTCTTATTGTGTGTTATCTCTATATCTTGGCAATTATACCTTATGCTGCACTGGTTAAATTTTTTATTACATAACAACTTGTGCACATTATGTTTGAAATTCAAATAGGCACTTGTGTCAAGATAAAGCACAAAAGTATAAAGCAGAAAAAGTGAAAGTTATTGTTTATATGTTATAGCTTTACTGCGAGAAGGAAAGGCTTAAATGACCAGTTTGACCAGTTAAAGCACTTGTTGATATTGGTGATATTCTGGTGCTAGTGGCTCGATGAAAGGACGGAGAAAGGTAAAGCTTCCAACTTGAGTTTGGGGGAATTTACTACCCTGAAGTAGTTGTTCAGGTTGTTCCCCACGTACTAAACTTGGATTTAATCTTGCTATTTGCTTTCATGATGACTTGCTGTAAGCTACGAAGCTTTAACTGAAATTGTTCTTTATATATTTTGGTCAATTCTTCAGGAGAGCTTTCTGTTGTTGTGAATTCTTTTGGATTTCACAAAGTCTCTACTTCCACTACCAGACAAATATCATGGTCTACTGATGTGGAAAACGATACCGCCAAAGTGTGATTGTTTCATTTTATATCTCTTATTCTTTTTATGGTTTTGGAAATTAGGTGTCCTAATTGAGCAACAAGTAAATGAGGAGGAGTTGAATGATTGTTTCACCAATTTCCTTTGTGTAGGTAATATTAGGCAAAGAATTTAGTCTTCAGTAAACTTCCTCTTTTTTTTTTTTTTTAATATATATATATATATAAGATCTAAGATCTTATATGATTAGAAAGAGTAGATATGTATGTGGCTTTATATGATGATATTAAGTTAAAAAAAAAAGCTCAGATAAGTTTATAAAAACTTTTTAGCAGCTATGCCTTCTATGATTATTCGCAATCAACTTGGATGATGCCAAGGCAATCCAGTGGCATAATTCTCTTTTATCCTTATTTTCTGCTTCTTCATGTTTTGGACTTTGCAGATTGTTTGATGTCTTCATGCCAGTTTCACATGTATCATTTTCTATGTATAATTTCATCATTTAATTTTATTTTTTCTAAGTGGTTGATATTTTCTGTGTTTAGGTATGTAGAATATGTGCAAATCCTGAGTAGCTGATGTTTCCGGAGAGAGCAAGGTGGGTTGTTTTCTTTAGTGTCTTGCAAATCTTGTCTGTTTGTTTGTTCACTTTCTAACGTAGAATTCCTTATGGACATATAGCGGAAGATGGTTATCACTAAAACATTTTCCATCATATGCTTATCAACCAAAGAGAGGGTCACTTTTTTGAATGTTACACCTTGTTTTTGTATGCTTTTAGTTTATATATTGACTCCAACTATAACTATGCTTTTCTTTCATATGCTGAAATTATTTGTGCTCTAATGCTTTGAATTTTCATTCTTCCCTTACATTTTTTTTAGTAGATTGTATCAGAGATACGCAAGACAGTGGAGTCTTTGGGTTTCATTGAAGTTGAAACTCCAGTTCTACAGGTCTGTTTATATCTTCAGACTTGTTTACTTTTCCGATTTCTTTTTCCTAATATTTGGTTAAATAAATCATTAATTATTTCACCTTCTAATTATAGTGCAAAAAGAATTTGCTATTGCTTCCTATCATAAAAAACTGTCTATTTTGATATTTAAAATATGTTGGTCACATTTAATTTCTTAGATATGCATGAAAGATATTTTAACCTGAAGTGCCATTGTGCCTGAAATCCTTGTGCACTTTTGGAAGAGACATAGATCCTAATGGGTGAAGATGTAATTGGAATGTGTTAGCTCATCCTCCTTAGGGATGGCAACAGGGTGAGACTTTTGTTCACTAAACCTATTTGAGAGGCTATATTTCACTTCAAATTTCACTCCATTTAAGAGCTTGAACAGGTTGGGGATGACGTTTACTTTCCTTTTTGGAATGTTTGGGCAATGGTTATTCTTTGCTTGTACAGACTTGATAGACATGTTTTCCTTCCCTTTTATGTGGAATAGATTGCACTCTTCGTTTCAATATTCTGAAACTATTTAAATAAAATTCCTATTTGCTTTACATCATTCATTTAGTTGAAAATATGTTAGACAGTTGGAAAGCTGTTAGTGAATTCATTACTTGGGTAGGTGTTGGCAGAAAGTCTGTGCATCCTGCACCATATGATTAATTTAATGTTAGTGAGAGTTGATCTAGTTGTTAAATTCAAAGGTGTAAAGATCATTAGTCTATTGAACTTGGTTTTTTAATTGATTTGTTCAATTAGGGAGCAGCTGGTGGAGCGGAAGCAAGGCCATTTGTTACATATCATAATTCACTTGGAAGGGATCTCTATTTGAGAATTGCAACTGAGCTCCATTTGAAGAGAATGTTGGTGAGTTTCTATATATATGAATTCCATTATACGTGATAAAACTTGAGTTTGTAGACACCTCTTTTCTTCATTAATTCATTGAATTTTTTTTTGTTTAAATGATAAATTCTACATTCTTAAACTACTGTAGTTTAGATTGTTGTGAATTTTAGTGCCTGTATACCTTCTTTTTAACTTAACCTGTCTGCTATTGATTTCTAAATTGTCCCATACTCGATGTCTACTTTATGCACACAATTCTGGAAAAAAAAAAATGTGCCTCTGGCCTGTTATATAATTAAAATTGTATTTAATTAAGTGAATATTGTAAAAGCTCAAATATTTTTTTCCTCTTTTTTACTCATGTAGCAATATTTTGCAACAGAAATTAAAGAAAATGCATTACCAAACTATTTTTCTTCTTAAGAATGAGATGAATTGGTTGTGAACTTTATACTTTTTCTTGAGAAAAGGAGGAAAAAAATAAGATCATCCCAATCTTTGGGTTTGTTGGAATTTTTTCCTCTAAAAACTTGGGGAATCATGTCCTGGTTATTTGACTCTACATGAATACTGCAGCAGCACTTGTCTACTACATGAGGCCTTATATTGATTTATTTAGTTTGTATTACAGGCATCTTTCCAAAATCCCTGGTAATTTTCACTTTTCTGGAGGGACGGTCAAAAACTCCTTCTCTTTAGATACTTTTAAGTCTTGGAAGAATAACACTGTCGTCTTTCTAAAATTCTTTTTTGTTTTGGTCTCTTTCTTGGGTTTGTTAAACCCTGTTTTATTTTTTCTTAAAAGGTCCTTTTGAGCCCCTCGTCCTGTCCTTTTTGGCTAAATCATTGTCACAATAAATTCTTAACTGTAAAATATGATGTAACCTACTGGTGAAGTTCTGAAATTCTTGAAAAAGACAAAACTATTTGCTCTAATAAACCTTCTTCTTGTCTTCTATCAGTTCTATGTTTAGTTCCCATTGGGTTTATGTAAATGATATCTTTGAAAAGTTTGCTACCCTTCCATTTTAAGTATAATTTTAGGTTGAGCTTATTCTGTGGTCTTCTTTGTGGGCTTCGACAAATTTGCATACTGCCTGCTGTCACTTTGTCCATGCCTCTGCCCATTTTTATTGGAATGAATCTTTGCATTCTTCTAATAGTCACACTTACCCTCGCATGTTGACATAAATTTACTGTGTTCCATACTGTGTTTGTTTTCTTTTTACTTTATGTTCTATCCTTCCACTTTAGGTTATATTGTTTTGCTTCGACTAGATTAATGTCTGAACAAATTTGAATCATGTAATGACAGGTTGGAGGATTTGAAAAAGTATATGAGATTGGTCGAATATTCAGAAATGAAGGCATTTCAACTCGCCATAATCCTGAATTTACCACCATAGAGGTATTCACTATATTGCTTTTGTTTAATACATTATGTGGTATGCTAGTATGTTTTATATGATAAGGATTGATTATTGATTTCATAACGCATCTTAAATTTCCATTTCTATTGAATGAAGGCTGATCAGCTCTTGTTTTAGCTTGATTTTAGATGTATGAAGCATATTCAGACTACCAAAGCATGATGAACATGGCTGAGGAAGTTGTTACTCGCTGTGCACTTGCAGTTCATGGGAAACTTACCATTGATTACCAGGTAAATGTCCTTTGCCAGATTGGTTCATTTGATAAAATATAGTTACTGCTTATGTCTGTTCATGTACTAGTTACTTCTCCCTGTAGTCACAAAAATTCTCTCTGTTTCAACAATCAGTAGTACATGCTAATTTTGTGAAGACTGATGAAATTCTTCCATTCAGGGGGTGGAGATAAGTTTGGAACGGCCATGGAGGAGGGAAACCATGCATAATCTTGTTAAAGAAACCACTGGGATTAATTTCCATGACTTGGGAAATGATCTTAAGGTTGCTAAAGAGGTTACTTTGAAGGCACTTGGGACTGGGCTTGATAACAAAGACAAATCTGCCATTGAAGCAAGCCCTTCTCTGGGTAACCTTCTTAATGAGGTGATTTTTCTTGCTAGTGCTATTGCTATTCATAGATTTACATCCTTTACCACGAGTATTTACTGAGCCCTTTTCTACTGGTTATATTATATTATTCCTTTACGTAGCTCTTATCAGCTTTAGGTTTTCTTCTTTTCCAGGTCTTTGAAATTGCGGTAGAACCAAAGCTCCTGCAACCCACATTTGTTTTGGACTATCCTATTGAGATATCTCCCTTAGCCAAACCACATCGAAGGTATATACATATACTTTCAAACACACACAGATACGCACATGCACACACAAAAAATATATATTGTTATTTGTTGGATTTGTTATTTTTTAGGTGCATGGAGTAAGATACTTTGTTGACCTATTTTGTTTATTACATGGGGTTACTGGAATTGCAGTCTCCTAAATTTTCCTTGAGGTGTATCATTGTGTCGATCTGCATTGATCACATTTTGAGATTTCTGTACAAAGAATTGATGGCATGGAAATATAGATTTTGTTGGTCATTCTCTCTCTTTTTAAGTAGATACATTTGGTCTTTATGACCAACTTTTATCTTCTATAACCTACAAAGATGTCTAAAATCTTTGTTTCACTATTTCTTCTATTATGTTCATTTTCCTTGGATGCAATGAAACTATATGTTAAGGTGGAAAGATTGTGCCTTTTTTTTGCTGTAAACATTTGATTCTTCCATGATGTATGCAATTTTGAAATATTTTGCTTGTTATCCAAAACAGCCATGCAAGCTTGACCGAGAGATTTGAACTCTTCATCTGTGGTCGTGAATTGGCCAATGCATTCTCTGAGTTGACTGATCCGTTGGACCAAGTAAGTTGCTGCAGTCTCTGTATATGCTAAGTTTGGCTAATACTACCTTGAGTTGGAGTATTAAACTATGATTAACCTTTATACAACTAATGAGCATAGTATTGCTGTGGATGAACTATGATATTGTGGTTGTTAGTGGGGTCAATAAAAATGTTGAAAATTTCTGTATATGAAAAAAATGCTTAACAGGATGGAAATCCTACACATTAAATTGTAGATTCATCTCAATGATTTAATCATTTTACTACTTAAATCTAGGAATAGGATCTTGGTGATGGTGTCAATGATTGATGCATAAATTCAAGTTCCTATTGGCTACTGGTGTCCGTGTTGATGAATTTATCACTTAAAACCTATTTATTGCCCTTTTGGTTTACATCAAAAAACTGCGACTATTCTTGCTTTTAGTTAGAAAGGAGAGGATATTGACATTAACTTTAAATGGCGGCAGAGGGCACGCTTGGAAGACCAAGTGAGGCAGCATAATGAGAAGAGAGCAGCAGCTGTTTCAGAAACATCAACTGCAAATGAAGATTCGAAGAAAAATGATGATAACTCATATGAAGTTACTCTCGATGATGACTTTCTGACAGCTTTAGAATACGGAATGCCACCAGCTTCAGGGATGGTATGGTCATATTTGAATTTATATTTGATTGTTATAAATTGTCCATACCACAAGTTGCAAGACTATCTTCTGTCAAATTCTTTTATCTCTGTAACAATTGCGCTGTTTAGATATTATCTTTTGAATAAAATGGCCTTGGAGTTTTTCAGTTGACATTTTAGCATAGTGAGCATTATCGTTAAACTGATATGTCTAACCGTGCTGAAAATAATTCATCTTTCAGGGACTTGGAATCGACAGGCTGGTGATGCTTTTGACGAACTCTGCCAGTATTCGAGATGTTATTGCCTTTCCTGCCCTAAAACTTCAGCATAGTATTATAGCAGCTGGTCAGACAGATTAGTGTTCTTATGCTTCAGCACAGATGTTGACATTCAAAGAGGATTTTGATATGTTCAGACAGAATGGCAGGTGCCACTTCTTTTTTGTATAATACCTCACCTTTAGGAAAATTTTGGCAGTACTTCGAAATTCTTCTTATTGTTGTGTGAATTAAATAAAAAACATACGATATATATCTAAGGTAGAGCAGAAAAAGAGCCTCAGCTAAGTAATCTGGCATAACATCTTTGAAGGTCTGCTCTTAGAGATTCATTGATTAGATGATATTCTTTTTGCGCGATTAAATCAAATGTAAACCACACATGTATTCTCTAAGTTATATACTATACAATAATGTTGAATCTCTTCCAGAATTTCGGATAATCCCACTTTCTCGTTTAGAAATTTGATTCTTACAATCTGTATTTTGCTCATTGATGTTTACTTGAAGATCTGAAACTTTTCCTAGATGAGTTATTGCTCTAGCTGAGACATTGTTTTCAGAAAGTTCAACAAAAAGGTAGGTGTACAGTGTACTGATAAATATGTTTATCATTTTCTTAGTAAAATTTACCTAGTGTTCAGGATGTAGTAGCGATTCTTTGACTTGAAAATTCTACAAACAGTCTCTGTATTGGAGAAAGTGGATAGCAACTAGTTATATATTTTATATTTAATAAACTTGATTAAGAAGAAGATTTGATTATATGATTACTTCTATAATGATTGGAACTCCAGCTAAGTTATTGGGTTAGATCTTTCAACAAAACATAAAAATATTAATTTCTTCCACAGACTAAAAACCCTATAATGGCACACATGAATAAGGTGTCAACTTTATTTGTGTTTTGTTTTTTAATCAATCAAGTAGGTATATTGATCTAATAACATTATCGATCAGTGATACGATGTCTTCGTATTTGATGAATAGGTCGATATTAGTTTGGTGAAGGTCTATTATTAGAAAACCGTTCTTTCAATTATATTTCGGCGATTTTATTCTATATTGTTTAATGATCCGCTCAATGTGATGTTGCCACATGGGTGCATTTGTGAGGGGAATTGTGACAGTTTGTACTTTTTGTGCCAGGCAAAGTTCAATTCTATTACATCCATCATAAAAATTGCATGTAGCAATGATGAAAGACAAGAGTAGTTAGAGAGGAGGGACCTTTGCCCCCCGAATCAAACACATTAGGGCATGCGTTTGTCTCTAGATACATAACAAAAGTTGAGAGAATTTGCCAAAACCAATTTGAAATTTTGATTTTTTTTTTAATTTTTAACATGGGTGTTTAACTTTTAGGCAGCTTTTGTTTGCTTCTCTAATGATTCTTGTTTCTAGAGATGTTGTATTCAAGTGGTTGACCCCATGTCCCCATGTGACACATTTGATATGTAGTGAGAATTGCATAATTTTTAGATTAAATAATGTCATTTCATGAAATGGGAGTGTGAAGGTTTCAATTTATGGACCATATGAACAAAATGCCGAAGATAGTTTCTTATATAATTGACAATACCATACACAATATCTTTCACGGTCCCCTCAGGTTATACTATATTTTAGATTTTTTTTTTCTCATGTTTTCTAGATCTAGAAATATAGAAGAAGATAAAATAAGAAAAAAAAAAATAATAATAACCCATTTGATACGTCTTCTAAAATTGTTTTGTATTTGATTTTAAAAAAAGTTTGAAATATTGTGATTTAACTTTTTGACATTGTTTGTGATTCGTGCATTTTTGTCAATAAAACAATGTTAACAGAGAAAGAATAAAGATAGTTACTTTTAATATCTACTTACATCTTTGAAAATCATTGAATTGATAAAGATAAGTAATTTACACGGAACTTAATCTCTATATATCACATTAGAAAATGATTTAAAACACATCTAGAAAGTAGAAACTTTTCTTGTATCAGTTAAAGAATATTGATAAAAGTAACATTTTTTTACCTCAAAAAACTAAAAGATGTTATTATATACCATTTTGTAATACCCTTATGACCAAATTTTATGGGCATCCAAGGATAAATTTTGGGATAAAATGAATGCCCAATATGGTTTTCGTTGAGATGAGAATAGAAGTAAAGAATAAACAATGGACGGAGGCAAATAAAGTGCATTTATGATCTTTCTAAAGGTTGTATCATATCATCCATGCAAAAAACATTTTTAATAAAGAAAAAAAGAAGAGAAAGTTGTATGATTGTTTCATTTTGCCATAAATTCTATCACCCAAAAGTGAAGAAAAAGAAACTTATGCCAATCAAAGCTTTCCAAGATAGACCATCTATCAAGGAAAAGGCAACCAAGAAGGAATAACAAAAGACACAAATTTAGATTAACATAATCCTAATTTAAAATTGAATTATCTCTTAATAGGTCATTTGCCTTAACTCTTCACAAATTCCTTGATGACCTAGGAAATATTATTAGAATAAACAAACCCAAATAGGAGGACAACTTGGAAGTTTCAATGGCAATCAATAGTAGTGGATGTCCTAATCATGGATGACCTAAGACATGTGGTTTCAAACCATTGCTTCTAATAAGAGCATACAAAAACAGTCAAGTAGTTGTGTCATGTGTGAGCTTGCTATAGGTTCATGTCAAGAAAATATTGAGTTTTCTCCAAACTATTCTAGTGTATGTGATACATGCATAAATCATTCTTATATAGTTATACAATTTCATTCACCCCAATCATTTTAAATATTTCATTCCACCCTACTAATATTTTACTTTTTTTTTTTTTTTTCCAATAAAAACACTTAAAAAGGCCTTTTAATTCATTATTTAAAAAAAAAAAAAAGGATGAAATCAAAATATTTGAGTTATATTCTTAATATTGCTAAAATCAAACGTTTGATATAATATTCAAATATTCTCTATATCCCTTCATTTCCGAAAAAAAAAAAAAAAAAAAAAAAAAAAGAATTGCATTTGAATGCTATTTCAAATTGGTCCAAATCACCCACAAAATTAAACTGCTCATAATTAATGGAGCAAGTCTAATAAAAATCAACATATTTTTAGTCCGAGTTTCATTGAATTTAGAGAGTCGTCCATGATTCATTGTACATATAACCAGCCTATAAGGATCTGCCATATCAACGCGCATAGTATTTATGGGCACTTTCATTTGCTGATTTTATGTGTAAAGGATACACACAAATTTCTTTTCTTGATTTATAATAAAAACTATCGTGTTTTGATGGTATATGAATTGAGTAATGTTATACTTACATCATTCTTTTACACAATTTTTATTACATTATGATGTGACATATGTCATAATCACACAAAATTTTAATTATTTTAAATTTTTAATATTATAATAGAATTTGTGTGGTTGTAACATATGCCACATCATGATGTTTACAAAATGGTATAAGTGTAACATTACTCATATGAATTTGAATCGGTATGATACATTAAACCTAAAAGAAAAAAAATACAATGAAACTTAATGAGCACAATTTATTTATTATTATTTCTTTTTTTTATGATTGAGCGTGTCTGAACCAATTTACACATACTTCAATTAATCTTTCAGGATCCTTAAACTACCGAGTGATAAGAACTCCAATGACTATCCCTATTAGTAATTGAGGAAAGATTCAAATTCATAACCTTTTGAGTAATACATTCAAGAATCCTTATTAAATCACTTGATCACCTAAATGTACTTCACAAGCTTGTTTTAAATCTTCATAAGTCAGCTAACAGAACATGTTTTTCCATTTCTAATTTTTGGTATCCAAACATGGTAGCTTATGATATTGTAAAAGAATAACAAAGAAGGAAGAAAGAAAAAGAGAGACATAAGCTGAGTATAAAGAAGGTATTGTTTGGTTGGTGAAGAAAGGCACTTTAAAATTGAAAAGTATCTTTACTTAAAAACAATTGTAATTGTGCTATAAAATATATAATATGGCAGTTACTATAAAACAGCTTTTTGAAGCACCAACAGTTACATTATAGAATGTTTGACAGTTGGGTTTTGTCTTCCAAAATTTTCCAAATTCTTGCAATAACTTGTGGCTCTCTTTCTCTTTCTTTTTGTTCTGTCTCTTCTCCTTCTTCTTCATCATCGAGGGCAGAACAGTCTTTTCAGTTACAGTTACAGTTACATTACAGTCTCCAAATGATGCCATAAAACAACAGAGGAAACAGAAAAAACAGGCGACTCTGTTTTGGTTTTTAGCAGAAACCCATTTGAGTTTCTGAGTTGAAACTCATCTTCTTTTTCCTCAAAAACTCAAGTTTTTATCTGGGTTTTGCTTCTTTTGTCTTGAAACATTCAAATCCAGTGGCTTTTTATCTTGTTATGTTCTTCTTGGTTGCCATTTTCATATAACGCAGATCAATGAGCTCAAGGGTTGGTTTGTTTGCTTGTTGTTTTTTTTTTTTTTTTATCTTAATCAAGTTAAAATGGAGCAAGTGTGGAGATGTTAACTAGTTTTTATTTATTACAGAAAGAAAGTTAATTTCATGAGGGTTTGTTTTGCAAAATTCATTGTCCTTCCTTCATTTGCTTTTGCAAACCCTCTCATATATACACAACCAGGGCCATTGAAGTTGGAGAACAGCCCACATGTGCCTTCAACAACAACAATTGTGGCAGCTCTGATGTCATCAAGATGTGTGTGGTGGTGATGATGAGGTCAAGAAAGTCAAGGAATTGAGAGTGTTGTAGATGGGAAACAGCAGCAGCAACAACAGCAACAGAAACAAGAACAGGAACAAGGAGAGCAAGAAGGTGGTGAGGATTGTGTGAAAAGCTGTCTCAAGAAGGAGGTTGCGGATTCGGATTCGAAAAAGGAGCAGAGAAGAGAGTTTAATGGATGGATTTCTTGGGGAAAGAATTGGTTGAGATCAGGGAATTTGAAGCCTGGTGAGTACTCTTTTTCTTTTTTTTTTTTTTTTTGTTGGGGAAATTTTGTTTTTAGTTCTTATGTTTGATGATGCTGGTTTTACAAAGTTTTAGCTGAATTTAGTTATTTTAGATTGGAACTGATAGGCTAGCTTGTATTTTTAAGTAATTGATTATTTTAGATTGGTTGGATCAATTCCTAAAGGCCTGTAAAGAAAACATAACCAAAAAAAAAAAAAAAAAATTGAATAGTTTGATATAAAGGTGGCTTTTATCAAGGGAATCCTTTTTATTGTGTGCTGGGAAAGTGAAGTGATCCAATTACGTGTTTTTCAACCAGTGGAAAGTAGTATTGCCCAATAGAAATGGATTGTGGACTTGTTTTTAAATTATCTTTAGGCCTTGAAATAACTGCTTCATGTAGTGTGAAAGAAGTTTGGTTTAACTTTTGTAACACAATGGGCCAACTTTTAAGTCTTGAAACTCATGTGGTAGTGGCATTAGGTATCTTGATGAAAACACTACAGCTAATCTGTAAAAAGGCATGTCCAATCCAATGGAATGCTCAGGCAATGGCTTGCCGAATTATGGTTTTCTTTTTTGCTAATTTCTGTTTCCTGAGATGGGGATATTTTTTTTTTTCTTTATTTTGCATTAAGTTCAGGTGAAGCCTTGGAAAAGATATGTTTTAAACTCTGCTTGTATGGAGTTTGGAGTACTTTAGTGGTGGTCCATACATTACTTTTTTTTTTTTTGTTACAACTTATAATTGGCTATGGACGGGGTTAGCTGTGGGATTTTTGGGTAACTCCCTCTTTGTTTTGTTTTGAGAAAGTGGTTTCTATGTTATACCTGGAGTCGCTTGACAGTAGAAGTTATTGTTGACTACTGTGCTTTTTTTTTTTTTTTTTTTTTTTTGACCACTTAGGGCAGGAAGATTGAGGATGTTTGATTTTAGAAATAATGCAATGGCCTAAAGTAATGTTGTTTTTGTTGGAGCGATTGTTGTAATAAAATTATCGACACTTTGTCGAATGTGTTAACAGTATAATGATGATATGATGGATGAGTAGGAGATTAGAAAAACATAAGATCTTTAAAAGATCAAGTGCAGGGAAGCCTACTGTAGACATGTGGACAGTAGACATGAAGTTGCTGTGTGATGAGTTGATTGTAGTGACATAAATTCAAGGTGTACATAGGAAGAGTTAGATAATCAGGCTACAAATAGGTTTAAAGAATGTTTACTGAATTGATCTGTTAATGTTCATCGTCCCTTGGAAATGCAATCTGGTTGCTTTGTGTTGGCATGTTCACAGTCAAGTCCATGCTCAAGTTACAATTGCTTAGTTTTCTTTTTCAGCCATTGATCAATATCCTCAGGATGGACTCTTTGGAGCTAAAATTCTGTATTTTCTGTTTTCTAAGCAGTGAAGTGGAAGATATTGACAATGATAGTGCATACTGTAAAGGCTGTGTTTGTACAATTCTATGACCCTGCCATATCAGCTTCATCTGCAAATTCTCGAAGCTACAATAGCATTGAGCACAGAGAGAAAGAATAGCTTGTGATCTTTACTACATTCAATTTATCTTCTTCTCCCGGCATTATAAAGGATCAGCATGTGGATATATGGCTTGGATTTCTTTGATGCTGCCTCATCATCCCTCACATGAGAAATACTCTAAAAGAATTCAGTATAGAAGATAGTAACATTTATTTTTTAAGAATATCACTATTGTTTCTTTTACAGAACAACATTCTGTTCATTTGATAATTAAAATTCACACAAGTTCCAAGTTTTTTCTGATATGTGACTTGTTTCATCACTTGCTGCACTTTCTGCTATTTCTGATCCAAGTACTAAAAAGACCAACATAACCGTATTACACTTTTCAGTAGACTTTTGCCTTATTTACATCATAAATAATTGAACCACATATAAGTATCGTGGTGAAATAATTTATGCATATTGATTGGAAAAAAACAACAGACAATTGCGACTGAGCACGAAGATAAAGTAATAGTCCCAAGTTCTTAAGCAAACTCTTGTGGAAAATATTACTTATTGTTATATTGACTCAAAAACTCTTAAAGAGCACCAAATTGGAAGTCTACAGAAATACCAGGCCAGCCCTACACAATCTATGGGATTGAACTTAAACCGTTTAGCCTTCTTCTTCGGCGTCTAGGGGGTGGTGCTACATGAAAATACCCTGTGGAAAATATAATCAGAACTGTTGAGAAAAACCCGACAGAGTATCCGATCCCTACTCCTTCCCATGAAAACCATGCCGCTATCTTTTCATCCTCTTGTGGCATTGCTGGCGACATCTCTATTGGACAAGGATTGCTAATTTGCATACCACACAACCCACTGTTGTTAGCATAGTAGCTTGGATTATCCATTGTGTCCATCTGGCCACCAACTGGGATTTTTCCCTCTAGCTTGTTGTTACTGACATCTAAATTAGTAAGTTGTTGCAAGTTTACCAGAGTTTCAGGAATCTGACCAGAGAGTTGGTTGTGTGACAAGTCCAAGCTCTCTAGTGAAAGACAAAACACAAAATTGATAGAGTAGGCTTTATTACCTAACTCAGAAACAAACGTTTGTATTTATAGATGTGTTGGTTACAAGTTTGAATTTTAAAATACAGAAAAACCTGCTAACAGACTTAGCTAACCTGCTAACAAACTTAGCTTAAGATTATAACAAACTAATTTAAATTTACAAAACTGTTTTACAGCTTCAACATCTGCGAGATTGATGGATAAATCTTCAGAAGTTGTTAATTAGAATTGTGGAGATCTTGAGTCAAATCTTCAGGAGTATTGAGTCTAACATCTAGACTCTCTAAATTACCGAAACTTGCCGGTATGTTTCCGGAGAGATTATTGTATGAGATGTTTAGCAGCTTTAGACCATTTAGAGAACCAAGTGAATTTGGAATTTCCCCATAAAGTTTGTTCTTTGACAGGTCTAACAAAGAGTAGATGTCCAGGCTGTGGCTGGAGAGGCCTTGTTTCGACTTCTTCCAGTTGACTATCAAGTCGTTTATCTCGACCAAGAAGGTGAACATATTGGAGATTGTTGAAAGGGTGTTTGGTGTCTCAATCATTGCAACCATATTTCCAAACTTGACAGGGATTTCGCCGGTGAGGTTGTTGTTTGATACATCAAGAATTCGGAGACTGGTCAGATTGGCAATTTCATCAGGTATTGATCCCTGGAGAGAGTTGTTACTCAGACTGAGAATTTGAAGGGTCGATATCTGGAAGAGAAACCGTGGCAATTCTCCTGAGATTTTGTTGTCATGGAGATCTAGTTGCTCAAGCTTGCTAAGATTAGTGAGGTTTCGAGGCAGGTTGCCTGAGAAATTATTATTTCCTAAGAAAAGTATTCTAGTCTCCTGAGAAAATGTCACTGGAACCTCACCTGATAATTCATTGTAGGACAAATCATTGACTGCAAGTAATGCATCAGGAGCAAACACGGGAGAGCTTCCTGTAAATCTATTTCTTGCTAAATCCAACAGAAGAAGGCGGTAAATATTGGTTATTGATGCAGGAATCTTCCCAGAAAAATTGTTTCCAGCCAACATAAGAATCATTAACTTTCTAGCATCTCCAACGTTTTCCGGCAACTCTCCAGAGAAATTGTTCCGCGAGAGAGAAAGGACTGATAAGCTTAGAGTTTGGAAGAGACGTGAGGGAAGAGAACCTGACAGCTGATTATCTGACAGAAAAATGTTGCCAATTTCCATTTCTGCAAGCCAGAATGGGAAGGGTCCTTCAAGCTTGTTCTTGCTCAAATCCAGGTAAACAAGGCTCTTCTGTGTTGAAAGCCAATCTGGGATTGTTCCTGCAAGTCCACATGATATCAGAGATAACTCAGATAGCATACACTTCGGCCCTATTTTTGCAGTGTTGTTCCAGGTCAGGTTTTTATTCCCTCCTAGAAACAAATTCTTCAGGCTCTTGATATCAAACAACCATGATGGAATTTTTCCAGAGAGCAAGTTGTTCTGCAATTGAAGTGTTTCCAGCTTGCTTAGTTTCTGAATGGATGAGGGGATTCCACCACTCAGCTTGTTGTCACTCAAGGCCACAGTGGTAATGTTGGTTAAATCACCAATTTCAACAGGAATCTCCATTGTCAAAAGATTGTCTCCCAGGTCCAGCTCTTTTAAGTCCTCCAAAGATAGAATGGAAGAAGGAATCTCACCGACGAATTTGTTGCTGCGAAGAGACAGCTGCTGCAGCTTCCTGAGGTTCCCAATTTCCTCAGGAATGTCACCTTCAAGAAAATTTGCTTCCAGTTTCAATACCCTCATGTTCTGAAGTGAAAACATTTCCTGGATTAAGTTGCCGTTAAGTGCATTGCTACTCAAGTCAAGATATTGAAGATTCTTCAAGTGAAAAATCTGAGGAGGAATTGAGCCCGTGAAGTTATTCAGCAACATATCAAGATGCACCAATTTGCTGAGATTAGCAAACCCTTTACCTGGTATTTTTCCATGTAAGTTATTTGAGTATATGTCAAGATACATCAAGCTTTTAACTTGAAAGAGTGGCGCTAACACCATGGAATCAACCAAGATTGGCTCTGAAGATGAAATGGAAACAAGTGAATCAAGATAGAGAGCAATCACAACCCTTGAATTTGATTGAGAGCTACACATGACTCTGTCCCATCTGCAACAATCTGAGCTTCCATTCCATGATGTCAAGGCAAAGAATGGATCTTCTGAAGAAGAGTTAGTAGCTTTGATGAACAAGGATTTGAATTGGAGAAGGACTTGTTTTTGATCTTCAGGACAACATAGAGAAGGGATAATGAAGAACATCATGAAGAGTGCATGCATTAGGCTTAATTGAGTCATTTTTTGTTTTTTGGTTTCTCTTTCTTTCTTGGAGCATTATTAATGAGATATTTATAGAGAAGGAGGACCAGTGAAATGATAAAAGCTTCCCATGCAGCAGTGCTACTGTGGCTAGTCTTAACTCTTAAAGTCAAAGTTTGGTATTACAAGTGAGGAAACTGGAGGAAAGATGAAAGAATACGGGAAAGAAGTTAGGCTGAAAGTATTATTAAAATCAGTTGAGTACGTTTGTCCCGTTTTTTGTTATCGGGGGAATCCAGGCTAGCTTACGGGCACCCCGATTAGTCCCCTGACGTCGAATAAGGCTTCTAAAACAGGGTAAGTCCTATGGTCGGTGGCCAACAATATTAATAACCATTCTTGTGATTCAAACTTGAGACCATAGGGGGAGCAAACCCCTTAACCCCAAACCTCTACCGCTTGGCCAACCTATTGTTGGTTTATTAATCTTTAGTTTCGTATTCCCTTTGCTAATGAACGAACCCGTAGGCTAGTATACATTCTTTGACTTCTGTTGACTAAGTAATGACAATATTGGGAAGGATTTTCCACTAATGTAATGAAAAAAAGCATAGACAAATTGCATCCAGCTTGGTTTCCAAGCAACCACACCTACCACACTAAAGTTTCAACTTTCAACAAAGGAACACTGCACCCAGTATGACCACTGACCTAAATAGAAGGAACACTGCACCCACTATGACTACTGACCTAAATAGTCAGCAGTATAATCCAAGTCAATGGCTAGTATTCAAAAACTCGACACTAGCCATAAAGTTTAGTTTTTGTATAATCTTCAATGAGTGATGTTGGAGTGAATAAGGAATGATATGTTGAAGCAAATCAGGAGATGACTGAGTACTAGATTAAATCAAGGATTAATTGATATTAGTTTTAATATCAATATTTCGTTACCTTATCTTGTATGATTATGATATTGTGGCATATATTAAGAGCGATCGGTTCTGGATACCCTGTATCTTTTTAAGGAATTGGAACCGGCCGGTTCCTAGGATTTGGAATTGGAATTGGAACCGGAACCTGAAATATAGGTTCCGATTTTAGTTCCAAGTACCTGTGTTAATTCCAATTACCCCCTAATTTAAAAAAAAAAAAAATGACAAATAAAAATTTCAATTCAATCTTGGTTCCTACTGAAAGGAAATAATGCACTAACAAAATATTTCCTACTTGAATGAATTTGTAAAGAGCAAAACCTTGAGCAAATATATCTAAAACGACAATCAAATTCACAAGAGACACAAGCAATTTTACGCGGAAAAACCTCTTCGATGTGAAGAGATTAAAAAACTACGGGATCGAATGACTCATTTAAATCCACTATAATAAAAAGTGTTTACAACAGCCACAAATCACCAATAATATTCCATACAAAATTTAGAGCTATATCACAACTCTAACAAAGTGAAATACATAAAAGAGTTACAAAAAGATAGAGAAAAATCATCAACAAAGCACCTGAAATGCAGACTGTATAACTCTAAACTCAGTCATTAAAATAGAAAACCAACTATCCCGATTGAAGAGCCAAACTTTCTCTGCGTCTGACCAAAAATCAGGTTGATCAGACTAGAGATGATCTTCCGATTGTCAGGTTGAAGAAGGACCGATGAACTAAAAATTCTGTAACTCAACTCTTTGATTTGGCTGTCTTTCAAGAGGCAAAACTCTACAAAAAAAAATGGCTATCACAAAACTGACCGTTAGATGTGAAGATCTTTCCGTCAACAACAATAATCTGAAATTTGACCAAAAACGGAGTAAGATTCAATATTGAATCGTCGCCGGAATAACCTAACGTGGTTACCTCTTTCTCGCTTATGCAGAATTTGTATCAATGAACAGTGCCCTGTTTTTCACACTATTCACCCACTCAAAAAAATGAACAAAGCTGCTGAACCTTTTTTTTTTTTTTCTTTTTTCCGTTGGGCTTGAGTTTGGACCATCCTCCTCATGAGGGAAACCCAAGCCCAACACCTACTCGGGTACCCTAAACTCAATTTCAGTTTCGATTCCCGATTCTAGCACTACAAGAACCAGAACCAGACCTGGGAATTCTCTGTTCCAATTTTCCAAAACTAGAACCAGACCGTAATAAAGTTGGTTCTGATTTCGGTCCTACCCTTTACCCATGCTCACCCCTAGCATATATTGTGTTTCCTTTTATTTCTTTTACACTTTAGTATAAATTGATAATTTATACATGTACGAATCACAATTGAATAGAAAACTATTCTTCTCCATTATCTTTCTCGACATTCTCAGTCAATCTCAGTTTATTTTCTCTTGCCTCATTCTGACAAGTGAAATATAATAGTTTTTTTAATTTAATCAGTGTCTAGGGGAAATAACAAATTGATTGATGAAATTAGGTTCGACCAACTCATATTTGCCATATTATAACATCTTCAAATATATCTAAAGAGGAAACCACCAGCTAATTAACGAGAAACTTTATGCAAAGAAAGATTAATAGAGCGAAGTAAGAAATAAAATGTAATGCCTAAAAATATTCACACAGCTTTACTTGAATATTTATTACTTAAACACGAAGCCGTGATTCTTTTTTGACATCACTCTAACCAGTACATTATGTTCTTCGTCACATCGGGTTCTTATACCAGTGTGCATATTGGCAGTTACCCAGAACTTGCTTAGGAACTTTCCACGAAGAAGATAAAGCTTTAGCTAGCCAAACATTTCATTCATACCACTTCTTTTTCTACTATATATTTAAACTTAATCAATGGTTATAAATAGAACAACACAACCGCCTTATGGACGTGTCCCTTCAAAAAGGTACTANACTTGAGACCATAGGGGGAGCAAACCCCTTAACCCCAAACCTCTACCGCTTGGCCAACCTATTGTTGGTTTATTAATCTTTAGTTTCGTATTCCCTTTGCTAATGAATGAACACGTAGGCTAGTATACATTCTTCGACTTCTGTTGACTAAGTAATGACAATATTGGGAAGGATTTTCTACTAATGTAATGACAAAAAACATAGACAAATTGCATCCAGCTTGGTTTCCAAGCAACCACACCTACCACACTAAAGTTTCAACTTTCAACAAAGGAACACTGCACCCAGTATGACCACTGACCTAAATAGAAGGAACACTGCACCGACTATGACTACTGACCTAAATAGTCAGCAGTATAATCCAAGTCAATGGCTAGTATTCAAAAACTCGACACTAGCCATAAAGTTTAGTTTTTGTATAATCTTCAATGAGTGATGTTGGAGTGAATAAGGAATGATATGTTGGAGCAAATCAGGAGATGACTGAGTACTAGATTAAATCAAGGATTAATTGATATTAGTTTTAATATCAATATTTCGTTACCTTATCTTGTATGATTATGACATTGTAGCATATATTAAGGGAGATCGGTTCTAGATACCCTGTATTTTTTTAAGGAATTGGAACTGGCCGGTTCCTAGGATTTGGAATTTAAACTGGAACCGATAGGTTCTGGTTCCCAGAAACATGAAACCGAAACCTAAAATATAGGTTCCGATTTTAGTTCCAAGTACCTATGTTAATTGCAATTACCCCCTAATTTTAAAAAAAAAAAATGACAAATAAAAATTTCAATTCAGTCTTGGTTCCTACTGAAAGGAAATAATGCAGTAACAAAATATTTCCTAGTTGAATGAATTTGTAAAGAGCAAAACCTTGAGTAGATATGTCTAAAACGATAATCAAATTCATAAGAGACACAAGCAATTTTACGTGGAAAAACCTCTTCAATGTGAAGAGATTAAAAAACCACGGGATCGAATGATTCATTTAAATCCGCTATAATAAAAAGTATTTACAACAGCCACAAATCACCAATAATATTCCATACAAAATTTAGAGCTATATCACAACTCTAACAAAGTGAAATACATAAAAGAGTTACGAAAAGATAGAGAAAAATCACCAACAAAGCACCTGAAATGCAGCCTATATAACTCTAAACTCAGCCGTTAAAATAGAAAACCAACTATCCAGATTGAAGAGCCAAACTTTCTCTGCGTTCTGACCAAAAATCAAGTTGATCAGACTAGAGATGATCTTCCGATTGTCAGGTTGAAGAAGGATCGATGAACTAAAAATTCTGTAACTCGACTCTTTGATTTGATTGTCTTTCTAGAGGCAAAATTCCATAACAAAAAATGGCTATCATAAAACTGACCGTTGGATGTGAAGATCTTTTCGTCAACAACAACAATCTAAAATTTAACCAAAAACGGAGTAAGATTCAATGTTAGATCGTCGCTGGAATAACCTAGTGTGGTTACCTCTTTCTCGTTTATGCAGAATTTGTATCAATGAACAGTGCCCTGTTTTTCACACTATTCACCCACTCAAAAAAACGAACAAAGCTGCAGCACCTTTTTTTTTTCTTTTTTTCGTTGGGCTTCAGTTTGGGCCATCCTCCTCATGAGGGAAACCCAAGTCCAACACCTACTCGGGTACCCTAAACTCAATTTCAGCTTCGATTCCCGATTATAACACTACAAACCAAAACCAGACTTGGGAATTTCTTATTCCAATTTTCCAAAACCGGAACTAGACCCTAATGGAGTTGGTTCCGGTTCCAGTCCTAGCCTTTACCCATGCTCACCCGTCATATATTGTGTTTCCTTTCATTTCTTTTACACTTTAGTATAAATTATCAATTTATACATGTACAAATCATAATTGAATGGAAAACTATTCTTCTCCGTTATCTTTCTCGACATTCTCAGTCAATCTCAGTTTATTTTCTCTTGCCTCATTCTGACAAGTGAAATATAATAGTTTTTTTAATTTAATCAGTGTCTAGAGGAAATAACAAATTGATTGATGAAATTAGGTTCGACCAACTCATATTTGCCATATTATAACATCTTCAAATATATCTAAAGAGGAAACCACCAGCTAATTAACGAGAAACTTTACGCAAAGAAAGATTAATAGAGCGAAGTAAGAAATAAAATGTAATGCCTAAAAATATTCACACAGCTTTACTTGAATATTTATTACTTAAACATGAAGCCGTGATTCTTTTTTGACATCACTCTAACCAGTACATTATGTTCTTCGTCACATCGGGTTCTTATACCAGTGTGCATATTGGCAGTTACCCAGAACTTGCTTAGGAACTTTCCACGAAGAAGATAAAGCTTTAGCTAGCCAAACATTTCATTCATACCACTTCTTTTTCTACTATATATTTAAACTTAATCAATGGTTATAAATAGAACAACACAACCGCCTTATGGACGTGTCCCTTCAAAAAGGTACTATAACCACCAATAACTTATAATTTAAATGGTATGGTTGTGCATTTTTAATATAAATTCTTTTGAAAATTTTCTTACATAAAACTCATGTACGTTTTTTAGCATTTATAAATGTGTAAAGAACAAAAATTTTGTCTATGAAATTTCCTTAAAAACACTCAAGAAGTGGAAATAAAAATCTTAAATAACATGGACGAATCACGTCATCCATATATTAATATATTATTTTCTTCATCACAGTTCACAAGGAGTTCAGATACCAAGTGTGCATTTGCCAAGAACTTGCTTAAGGACTTTCCAAGAAGAAGAGAAATTAAGCTTTAGTTAGTCAAAGGTTTCACAGCTTTTTCTCCATTAATCATCATTACTTGTTTAATCTCTTTTGGTTAAAAAGTTATTATGGGCTGCATGTGCTCGAAGTTCGTTCAAAATTTCCTGTAAATTTCTAACGACATTTCCCCTGTCGGAACTCTTTTGCCGTTTGCATATCATGAATTTATACATCATTTTGAACACAAAATTGATTCAAACTCTTTATATAATGAATTGCATCCAATACTTATCATTATCTTATCACCGATGATGTATGCTCTTAATCGCAATTCTCATGAAGTTTCTTTTTAAATACTTCTTGTACGGCAAGTTTCGAGCATATATTATACTTTTTTGTACGCGTTGTCTTGAGTTTATAATCTCCTGCACAGTCTAAATCAAGATTAGTTCTTCTTTCTTCAAAAAAAAAAAAAAAAAGAAAAAAAATGAGTTTTGACAAAACAGTTTTTGTCAATATCATCATCAAAGTGTTTATTCTTGTTTTTCTCTGTTATGTGTTGATTATTGCCGCTAACGATCCTCTTCATGTATCAGCTGGTAGAAGGCGTATGTTAATACGTTTCACAAGTCGTGAAGGTTTGCCTGAAAGTCATTGGCCTCCACTGCCACCGAAGTCTAATCCCTGCACCAACATCCCTGGAAATTCTGGTGGTCACTGCACACATGGTTGAACTTCCAATTTGTAATTATATGCGTGCATACCAAGAAAGTCTTTAAAGAAACAGATGTAGATAATAACTTCCGATGCATGCATGCAGTTTCACTTCACTGATTAAGTTAATTACAATATGATTTAAAATTTTTTATAGATGGAGGATTGAGATTTTCTAAATTTTAAGATCATAATGAAGATGATCATATGAATATCTATTGAACCTTCATGTTAATAAATGAATAAAGAAGGAATTGAGTAACACTGTTTCAGTGCTTGCATGGTTTCTCCATCTTTCTCTCTTGGTCGTTTTTTCCTTTGTTACCTACATTTAAAAAACAAATAGTAAAAGTTCCATTCCTTTTAAGAAATAAGGTTTTTGATCGGATACCGAATATGAATAAGACAGGGCCCGTGAAAGCTTTTTCTCGAGAGGGTGTTCTTGGCCCCGTGAATATAGCTTATTCTGGTGTTTACCAACGGTGGTATATAATCGGTTTACCGAAAATTTTTACGTACACTTTTCCCATACTATAATACAAAAGTTGGAAGACTTTTACATGTAGATTGTATTATAAACAATCCAACTGAGTGTAGCATTATTAAGTAATAACTTGATACACGGTTAACCAAGTAGACATCCATAATTTGAAGGATGAACCACGTGGTTACCAATCCTCATGTCAAACAATTCTTTAACAATGTGAGATTCAATTGGGTTAGAATGTCAAATCATTCTTTGGTGATTGAACTAAGAATATGTTAAACCTTTCTTTACCGATTTGAGATTCAATTAGGTTGTTACAATGCGTCTTAGAGAGGAAAACCAAATCACACCACAACTACTCTTTACAATGGTCCAATCATTGTCCACAATTAAAAAGAGTGCTATTAAATTGCAAAAGTATTCATTGTATAGGCACAAATCATTTTGTATATATTACAAGCTCTGTATCAATGAGAATACATTTTTCATCACCATTTCAATTGAGTAGTATCACGGTGGAGTAATTCATGTTCATATTTGATTGAAAAAACAACAGAAATTTTGAGAAAAACAAGCACCAGATACAACACAGGCAATCACAATTCAGCTTGAAGATAAAATGATAATATACAAGCTCTCAGTCAAACTATTGTGTAACTATTATTTATTTTTATTTTGAAAACTCTCAGACAACACCAAATTATAAGTAAAGTTGAAGCATCCTCCAAAATCTGAAGAAATTAACTTGAAATCTTGAACCGTTGAGCCTTCTTCTTGGGCGGTGCGAAGGTGTTACTGCATGAAATTATCCCCTGAAATATATAAACAGGATCTTTAAGAAAAAGGAAACAGTTTATCCAATTAATCCCCACTCCTCTCGTGTCATGGTCGGCAACATCATTTCTGAACATGGTTTGCTTATTTGCATATGAGTTTGTATCAGTCATTGTGTCCATCTGGCCACCAGCCGGGACTTTTCAACTAGCTTCTTTTTACTGACGTACATCTAGTGTTTCCGGAATCTGAACAGAGAATTAGTGGTTGTTTCATCACTTGATATACTTTCTACTAATTTTAATCCAGATTCTAACAAGATTCAATACGGTGGTTAAAGTTACGTTGCTGGTTTTGATGGCACCAAACCAAGTGCACAGAAGAAATTAATAGATTATTTTATTGTTGAACACAAGAAAGGCAGCATGCCAGAGATTTCATGGTGGAGTAATCTATAGATTCTATACTCATAAATTGAATTAAAAAACACTAGAGACTTTAAGAGAACAAGCACCAGACTGTAAACAGAAATACTTATTTATTCTGAAATATATACTGACTCGAAAACTCACATACAACTCAGACTTACTGGGCCAGCCGTATGCAAGCACCAGATGCAATAGACATGCAATTGAGCTTGAAGCTGAAATCATAATCAACAAGCTCTCAAACAAACTCTACGCTAGAACTATTATTTGTTCTTATATTGACGCAAAACTGTCAACTCCAAATCTAAAGCAACAGCCACAGTCCAATTGTTGACTTACACTGCATAATCTACAGGATTGAACATTAACCATTTAGCCTTCTTCTTCGACGTCCAAGAGGTGGTGCTACATGAAAATATCCTGAGAAAAATATTATCAGGACCGTCAAGGAAAAGGAAACAGAGTATCCAATCCCCACTGCTTCCAACGAAAACCATGCCGCCTTCTTTTCATCATCATCCTCATGTGGCACTGCTGGTGACATCTCTTCTGGACATGACTTGTTTATTTGCATACTACCTGTCTTGGCATCATGGAATGCAACCTCAGATTTTTGTCAATGGGACAGGGTCAACTGCAGTTCTCAATTAAATTCAACGTCTGTGACTGAGCTTTATCTTTACCATCTTGTTCCAGAGTCCATGCTCTTTCATGTAACAAGCTTGACGTATCTTGAAATAAGCGGAAATAACATCCATGGTGAAATACCTGGTGAAGGGCTTGCTAACCTCACCAAATTAGTTCATCTCGACATGACGCTTAGTAATTTCATCGGCACCATTCCTTCTTGGATTTTTCACTTGAAGAATCTTCAATATCTTGAGTTTCGATGCGGTTAAGGGGAAAATAAGTCAGGAAGTGCTCTCTTCAGAACTCGAGGGTATTGCAATTGAACAAAAATTTTCTTGAAGGTGAGGTTCCCGAGGAAATTGGGCACCTTAAGAAGTTGCAGGAGCTGTCTCTTCACATCAACAAGCTATGTGGTGGGATTCCCCTTTCAATTTTTTCTTTGAAGGAGTTGGAGGTGTTGCAACTGAGAGACAATCTTTTATCAAAGGAGATTCCTCTTGAAATCGGTAATTTAACCAACCTAAAAGTTTTGGATTGGAGTAATAACAAGCTGACTGGCGGAATCCCCTCACCACTACAGAAACTAGACAAGTTGGAAACACTTCGATTGGATTACAACTTTCTATATGGAGAAATTCCATCTTGGTTGTTTGATATCAAGAGCCTGGAGTATTTGTTTCTAGGAGGGAATCATGTGACTTGGAACAACACTGAAAAGATAGTGCCCAAATGTATGCTATCTATTTTAGCTCTGAAGTCATGTAAACTGGCAGGAAAAATCCCAGATTGGCTTACATCACAAAAGCTACTGTATCATTTGGATTTGAGTGAGAATAACTGAATAAGCTCAAAGGACCATTACTGTTATGGCTTGCAGAAATGGACGTAGGCAACATAATTTTTTCAGATAATGAACTTTCAGGTTCTCTTTCGCCGCGCATCTTCCAAAGCCAATCATTATATGCGCTTTCTCTATCACGCAACAATTTTTCAGGAGAGTTGCCAAAAAACATTGAAGATGGTGTTGACTTGACGTTTCTCATGTTGGCTGGGAACATTCCAACATCATTAACAAATATTTCTAACCTTCTTCTGTTAGATTTAGCAAATAATAGTTTTTCAGGAAGATCTCCACTTTTTTCCTCTGACGCAGGACTTGAAGTCATTTATTTCACCAATAATCAATTATCAAGTGAGATTCCAGTTGCTTTTCCTGAAAAAAATAAACTACTTTCATTAGCAAATAATAATTTCTCAGGTAATATCCCTCAGAAACTGGCTACCCTCAACCACCTTGAAGAACTAGATCTCCATGACAACAAAATCACAGGTGAATTGCCAAGATTTCTCTTCAAGATATTTACCATTCAAAACCTCATTCTACGCAATAACTCCCTCCATGGTTCAATACCTTATGAAATTGCCAACCTAACCAATCTTAGAATCCTTGACGTCTCATCCAACAACCTTAGTGGCAAAATCCCTGCCAAGTTTGGTTATCTGGTTGGAATGATTGAAACGTCAAATACCATGTCTTCAGAATTTCAGATTTTGACAACATGTATAGTATAGACAATACGAATTAATATTAATTGACTTGATAGTCAACTGTAAGAAGTCGACACGAGGTCTCTCAAGCCACAACATTGATCTATACTCTTTGTTAGACCTGTCAAACAACAAACTTTCTGGGAAAATTCCGTCTTCATTAGGTTTTTTGGTTAGACTAAAACTACTTAACATCTCATATAATAACCACTTCGGAAAGATACCAGCGAGTTTTGGTAATTTACAGAATCTAGAGAGTTTGAACTTGCCACACAACCAACTGTCCGGACCGGTTCCAGAAGCACTATCAAAGCTGCAACAAGTTACTACTTTTGATGTCAGTAACAGCAAGCTAGAGGGAAAAATCCCAGTTGGTGGCCAGATGGACACAATGATTGATCCAAACTCATATGCTAACAACTGCGGGTTGTGTGGTATGTAGGGATGGCAACGACGGGCCGAAGATGACCGTTCCATTCTTTCTCTGTGACCGAACTAAAAACAAATCTTGTCCCATACCATACCCGAACCCCACATAGGGAATCCCCGAAATTTTGTTCAATCCCCGCCCGAGCTTGAATTCCCTAATTGAGTTGTTTTTTTTTTTTTTTTTTAACCGTCATTTTAAAAACTGCATCAATATAAATAATGAAATAAAACACATGAATCTTTCATTAGGTGATAGAGCCATTGCACTATCTCAACACAAATTCAATAACAGAAAAATGATAACACAATTTATATTAAACAAAAGATTATTGGTTCTTAACTGCGATCTTAATTCTATTAAGAGGCATATATTTGTCCTTCTGATTTTTTTTTCTTTTATGACCGGGGTTGTTCGGGTTAGTTTACGCATACCTTAATTAATTTCTTGGAATTACCGATCGGATAAAAATTCTAATGACTATCTTTGTTAATAATCGAGAAAAGACTCGAACTCAAGATTTTTTAAATAATATATTCAAAAGTCTCTATTATATTATTCGACCATCTAAAAATAGTTTATCCTTCTGATTAATTTAAGACAAAATTAGAAAAATCTGTTTAAATAAAGTAATTCTTTTTTATTAGGTAGGCGTTACATTAACAGCATTTATTATCTAACTTCTATAAAGTGTTCTTCCACGAGAAGCCCAAGATGGCACTTAATTTTAGAACTATCTCAAATAATATCAATTCAATGTTGTTTCAATTCCTTTTCAAATGTCATCTATCACAAATATTATGCACTTTTAATTAATATGCAACATAATATTTATCTTAACAACTCATACATGCTTAAAAGAATTTGATGAAAACATACTTGAACACTAAATAGTTTCACAAAACCTAACATTTTCCTATCGTATGAAAATAAATGCATGTTTTTACTTAACATTGAAAATCAATTACATAATAAGAATCAAAGATATCCATTTATAAAACATATATTCATATAAAAATACACAGATTATGGATAATTATACTTAACTCGATCCATGGCAAAAATATGTTCTAGTCATCCGAATTCGTTCAATCCTTGAACCACAATCAAATCTAGAAATAATATCAACATCCGTTAAAATTAATATTCTTATATAACCATTACTCACTCAATCATTCATTTTCATCATCAATATCATGGCTTGTTTATTATTTCAATTATTATAATATATTTTTTTTTTTTTTTTGTTAACCAGGAGTGGCCGAGTCAACTTGTGCATACCTAAACTAATATTCTGGGCCCCTGAAATTAGCAATCGAGTAAATCCCCTCAGTGGTTACCCCTATTAGTGCTTGGGGGCTCGAATTTAGGAATTTATGTTGGACCATTTTACCATCAATTCACCCAGTAATAGCTTCATTATGTATAATATAATTAAAAAACCCATCAAATTCTCTTGAAGAAATAATCATCTATTTCATAATAATCTAACTTCCATATTGTTGATGTTTGATTTTGACACCAACAACTTCGCACGTGCAAAATGCTAAGAAATCACACGTGAACTGATTATAGTAAACGTGTGAGGTACTATGAACACATAGCATGTAAAGACGTAAATATAAAGTTGTCAAAGTGATTTTTATAATGGTTCAGATGCTTAAAATGAATCATGTATCCACTGTATTCGTTTATATAAAAATTACTTTCTTATCGCTAGATAAGCTTATAAGAGGCCGCGAACTGCGATATGAAATTACAAGTGTTTGATGTTTTACGTATTCTTATAGAATGTCAAGTCAGTCTCTTTATAGTAACGTGTCTTTGCTATTTTCTTTGTTGAATTAATGTGTGAATGCCGAACCTCTATTTTATTAAGGGAAACTGCCTATTTATACATGTTTAGCTTAAGGTAATCATTGCGCTTTTGCAAGTGGCCTAGTGTCGTGTAGATCCCTCATGTTTTCCTATTCGTTGAGAACTCAAGGAATATCTTTAAATTAAATGAGGGCTTGGACCGGTGTGCAAATCAAATTCATTCAAGCACAAATTCTTGAGTCAGTTTGGGTATGTGACAACTATATTCCTTTTGCCTTTGGAGACGTATCATGTTCTAGACGATGTAATGACTTTCTAAATTCTGATTGGTGCTCGATAACGTCAGCATACATCAACCCTTATTTTAGGCATAACACATATGCTAAAATATCGTATAAAGATTCCAGTCAATTCCATAAGTAATTATTCTCTAAACATAGCTCCAATTCAATAAAACTTCCAATTTATGATACAACATTGCATAGAGTTTTATTTTTAAGAAACTATCTTCGAATCCAATGAGTCACTTTTCAAAGAGGTAGTTAACACATACAACTTCTTCCATATCGATAGTTTAAAATCATTAAAGCATTTCAAATCTTCCAAACAGTGTTTGACATCGAGGTTGTCTTTTTAGAAAGGGCGAATAACAAGTTCCCACCCAAGGTTTGGCCTAAGCCATTCCCACCCTAAAAGTTTCAAAACAACAGTTTCCCACCCTCCAACTAATTTTTCCGTTAATTTAAACTTTTGAAGGATAGAATGGTAAATTCAGTTTATTTTAATTTTTTTTCTTATATAATTTTGATAAACTGCTGCCGGCCACTGCCCCCTCCTCTTCCATAACCTCCGTAACCACCACCTGCTGCCGGCTTGGTGCGATTCCGACGCTTTTTTTTTTTTTGGGTAAAAGTTAATTATAAAAATAATAAAGAATTACAGAAAAAGGGAGAGAACCTTAAGCACCAACATCCTTGGACATGACCAAGGAACAAGCTACACACAAGGAACCCAAGGCAGGGCACCCAGCAAAAGACTACCTATATCAGCAGAATCAGCAAAAACCACAAGACCTGTAAGATGCTAAGTATAATGTAAGTCCAAACCAACAAGTCTATACAAACAGCAAAAAGGCCCTCAGAAACAATCTCAAAAAACCAGTTTCCAACGGCTGAATCAGCCTGTACATTCTTCAAACCAGTAGCACCACACTGTAGTCTGTACACGCTGCCAGGATGCAACAACCATGGCGCAAACCAGCTGCTGCCCTTGGCTGGACAGGAACAACCATAACCCATCGAGAGGAGGCAAAGAACAGCCCAAAATAAAGTCGAGTATGATTCCAAAACTCGATTGCATCAACCGTAACAAACATGTGCTTACAACCTACATTCCAGAAATTGATGAAGGAGAACTGCATGGAGCCGTTTTTTGTGTTTCAAGTTTGTCATTTCACAGCTCTAATGTTTCTTTTTTTTTTTTTTTCGATTTTTTGTTATTCTTGTTCAGCTCTTTGCTCTTGCAGTTTCTTTACCTTTTTAGTATTTCCCGTAGGTTTTCTGTTTTGGTCTCTGGTGTTTGGATGAATATTGGTATTAAAATTTGTTCACCCTCTTTATGTTGTTCATGTTTGAGTCAACAATGGCAAAAAGTCGATTAAAGACTCTAACTGAGCTAAGACGTGTTAGAGTTGATAACCAGACACTCATGGTGCATCGTTGTGGAAAGTACGTCATTTGATGATAAATTCTGCACTTAGCAAATCGATTATGTATTTGAAGATTTATTTGTTTAACATTATGAATTATAGGTGGGTTAAGCTCTTGGGCACTGATCTATTGCCTGGTGATGTTGTCTCCATCGGGCGCTCTTCTGGTCAGAGTGGTGAAGATAAGTCTGTACCAGCAGACATGCTTATATTAGCTGGAAGTGCTATTGTGAATGAAGCCATTCTCACAGGCGAGTCTACTCCCCAGTGGAAGGTTGTTTTCTTTTTCTTATTTATTTTGTTATTTTAATTTTGGGGTAGCATCTCTTACCATTTTGGTGATCTCAACTTGATGGATATTTTATGTTGTATTGTAATTGATATATTTTCCTTTTCTTCTTCTTCTTCAGTTTTTTTTATTCTGTCCACCCACCCAATTGATGCAGATGCAATTTAGACTATTATGTGTACATGGTTAATACTGCCCTTTGTTATTTTAGGGGCCTTGAAAAATAATGTAGAATATCAGAACATTCTCCTAGATAGGCTTGCAAATTTTACATCAAGAGTTTGTTGTATGTCTTAATTCTTTGTTTTTTAATTTGGACCCTAATTTGACATATACTTTGGCTGGACTTATATTTGGTTTTGATAATCAATGCTCTTATAGAAGCAAGAGTAGTTATTTGTTTGGGTCTGATAAATTTCTAGATTTAAAAAAACTTCAATACCTGATTTTTTTTTTTCAGGTTTCGATCATGGGCAGGGGATCGGAAGAGAAATTATCAGCTAGACGAGATAAATATCATGTTTTATTTGGTGGGACTAAGATATTGCAGCACACTCCTGATAAGGTAAGTCATATCTGTTATCTTTTTCTACGATTTTAATGTTGATATGGTGCCAAGATCCCAGTTTAATGCTTTTAATGTCTTGCTGGAGTCAGACCTTTCCTCTCAAAACCCCTGATGGTGGCTGTTTGGCTGTTGTGCTGCGAACTGGATTTGAAACAAGTCAGGGAAAACTGATGAGAACAATATTGTTTTCTACGGAGAGGGTAATTAATAATTAGTCCATTTTAATTATTATTACTCTTGCTTTATTGTTATTGATTCTTCCTTGTAATTTGGATAATTTTCTTTTCAATTGTACACGTTGTAGGTAAAGGTGGAAAAATAACCCGCCCCACGGTGGGTTATGCAAAAAGGTGGGTCGGGCCTAACCTGACCCACCAATAAACTCGGCCCGCCTCTTGGCTAGAAGGGCTAGCCCAGCCCAGCACGTCAACCCTAACCCGACGGGTTTTGGTGCAAGTTGGGCCGGGTTGGCCCACAATTTTTTTTTAATTTTTAATTTTTTTGTTTTGTGTAATTATTTTTAGCTAACTTTTCAAATATCAATAATTCAATTCAATTAATTAATTTTTTTGTTAACATTTCAAATATTAATTTAATTTTAATATAATTAAATTGTAATATAAGAAAAAATATATTTATTCATTTATCAAAAAATAAAATAAGAAAATACAACAATTATTGCTTCATTAAAACCTTACCAAGAAAAACCTAATTGGGACAAAAACTTGGTAAGAAAAAAAGAGTGCAATAATTTATAATTAATTTACAAAGCTATAATTTACAAAACAATTAATTTGGGGGTTGACTAGGACCTCCCTCAGGTTGGAGTAGGTGTCATAGAGCCAATCAATTATTGTAGAATTAACTCTTTGTAATAATGTTCATTAATCAATAATAAAAGGCATTTTATTCTATATCGCGTAAATCATTATTAATGCAATACGTATTGATATATGTCCTTAGAATGGTAGAACCGTGACGAGGGTATCATGTGTTTCAAATCTTGATAGTGGGAACCCTATGAGCACATATGATGGCCATTCTAGAAACGTCCGTAGCCCCAGTATTATTCTGAAGTAAGGGCACAGATAATACGGTAAGGCTATCATAGTATTGAACGACCTTGTCAAAAGGCAGTGACTAATCTCACTTGTCAAGGTTGTTTGGTGACAACTTGGTGCAACACATGGGTGCTTGCTGTAGGCGAATACACCACAGCAAGTTCACTGGACTGACCCACCAAAGGATTCCATATGGATGGTAACCCCAGTGTCTATGGAACAAATCCTCTAACGAATAGTGGTACATGTGATCCTTAGACTTGAGATCACCGGAGCGCCTTGTGCACCGATTGGTGTAGTTTGACACTAGCCTAACGCAGTTCTTTTTAGAGCTGTCAATACGGTGGTGATTGGCTGCATCAAGTAGTGTATAAAGACTATAGTGGATTGACAGAGGATTCATCACTCCCGGGTACGGGAGAAGTTATCTCACGGCGAAATTCAGTATATCAAGACTATAGTGGATTGACAATGACACTAAAACTGTGGCCACAATGGGATTGAGTTGTTGTTCTATTCGGATTATAATACGGGTCATTGGTCCAGAAACTGAATACATAATATCGAGAGTAACCAAAGGTTGACACTATTTCTATGTCTTCGTTTCGTCGAGATAACGTATGATGAAAGGATCGAATTGTACGGTAACCATATCGTTGACAAGTAGCTGCTTTGCTGAATCCGAATCTATTGGGTGACCATAATGCCTTGCTAAAGGCCAATCTTGGTCTGTGTATTAGTGAGACAATTAACTGGTGTTAATCGCGATACTATACACTGCCGGTATGATGAGGAGCCTATGGGTCACACACATAGAAGATAATTTAAGAGTCAGGAAGAAAGAAGGGCATTTTCGTCTTTTTGGGCGAAAGGGTATTTTGTTAATTTCACAATGCAATTAAATTTGCTGAGGTCGTAGCTTTATTTAATTTGTTGGAAAAATTAAATAAGTGAAATTACGTTTAAATATGTGTTCGCATATATTTAAATATATTATCATTATTGTTAAATGTTAATATATATATATATTAAATATATATTAATTGATTTTAATTGAGATAATGATGAAATAAAATAAAATATCTAATTGGGAGTGTTTGGTAACATGGGGTGTTCGGGTTGGAGCCCAAGCCCATTCCATATGGGAATAGGGCAACTAAGTTTTCAATATAAAAGAAAACTTGTTATTTGCAAAAAGGGTGTGTGTTAATTGAGAGAAATTGATTTTTCTCTTTGAAAAAGAAAAACACAATAGCCCCTCTCACTCTCTCCCACGGCAGAATTCATTTTTGCCCAAAATCAATTCATTTGATTTTTCTTCTTTGATCTTAAAGCTAAGGAGGATCTAGCAAATCCCTCCTTAGTTCTTTGTGATAAGTTCGATCCTACACTTGGGTCGGTAGCAAAAACGAGCCTCCAAATATGTGTATGTTTTTCTAAACTCATGATTAATTTTTGCAGATTTCTATTTTAACATAAGCTGTAAAAATTGTACCTTTGATCTTGGCTCAATGGTAACAATCCTTGTTATTATGATTTTGTTTTCCGCTGCATATATGGACCGTTTCCTAACAGTGGTATCAGAGCCTAGGGTACCAAATTTTACAGTTTTTATGTGGATGGTTCATAACATGTATTTGATGATATTATGTTGCCTTATAAAATTTGCCTAAAATCTGTCTTAAAATCATGTTTTAAGAAATTTGTTAATCGATTAATTTTAATTTAATGATAATCTGCAAGTTTGGAATAATGGTTGATGGATTTTTGTTGAGATCAATGTGTTTGATTGATTGCAAAATCCGTTTAGAGTGTGTATGGTTACTGCATGCACAGATCCAAAGCTACAGATCTGTATACGCTCGCCGCGGTGATATAACCCATCGTCGTAGCGAGCGTTGTTCACGCTCACGCTGGTGACAAAACCAGCACTTGCCATGACGATATAATGCATTGCCGCGACGATCGTCCTCTAGACAAGTGCTATATGAAAACAGCACTCGCCGCGGCGATCGTCCTTAGGACAGGCGCTGTACCATATCGCCGCGGCGAACGTACGTAGAGTGTGGACGTCAGCATAACCAACGCATGCCGTAGCGATCTAACTCATCGCAGCAGTGAGAGCACTTTTGAGTGCAAAGGGGGCCAGAATGTAAAGTTTCAAAACTTTTAGACCAAATCAGATCTACAAATTGTCAAGGGGTAATTGTAATTAACCCATAAATTTCAAAAATTGATTGTTTTTGAAATTTATGCTTTATACTTGTTTGTATATTGCATGGTGCTCGATACATGAGCCTTAGACCTAAGGGTGAATGTTTTAAATTATTTTTGGGTATGTATGGTTGTAAATTTATTAAATAGGGCTTGCGTGTCCTGCCTTTCTCCTCTTCTCGATGTACATTCTCTTCTCATCTAATTCTCCTCGAATGTAAATCGAGGTTTCTAAATTTATTGAGGTAAAGAATTTGTATAATTATTTTATTGTAAATTTAGAATGATATTTTTGTAATGTACTTGAACACGGAGCAAAGGACGAGGCAACCATACTTGAAGACTCAAGATGTTTATTACAGGACCCCTAGGTGACCCACCGATTCCTCTAGGCTCGAGGAAATCGGTTTTAGTTGGGCCATGTACCGGAACATTTTATATTATGTTTAGAATGCATGCTAAGGTTGAATGTTGAATAACATGCCAAACAATGTCATTCTAACAAAGATAATAATCTGGTGAGACATTAAATAACAAAACCCTCAATTAAAGTATATTTAGTCACGTAAGCCTTCCATCACCATGGTTTTAATCAAACAATTGTTCGTCGAAACCTTGTTCCCCAAAGCGAATGGTGCACTTCTACCAGTGGGAGGTTAAAATGTATTAGAGTTTTCCTTAATGGTGATGGGTCGACTTAAAATGACGGTTTTGCTTGTTCGCCAAAGCGAAGGTTGATAAACGCGCTTCATAGGCATAGTAGAGCAGTACACATATACTGTGTACGTGGTGAGATGTAGTGTCCACTCTACTGATACTGAGAATCACACTTGAGGACGATGGCATGTAGAGACCATTAGATTGTGTGATTGGCTTGTTGGCTTTCTCACATTTGAGGTTGATAGTGGGAGCTATCATCTGATGTGGATTAAGTTTGTTGGCCTACCTAATCAACTCATTTTGGCTTGTTCGCCAAAGCGAAGGTTTGAAATGGGTAGGATGGGATCTCGATCCACTATGAAAGTCAACGGACTTTCCCGAGTTAATAGTGAGGGCTATTGAGTTGAGTAAAATAGTGGGAGCATCGTTTAATAAAAGACCTTATTAAATAATGATGAACACGGTAATAACGGTTACTTATTCTGCACTTGTAGATTCACTTAAAATTGAGCAAAATGATCCCAACATCACTGCTACAAATCATCGAACTGGGAGAGAAATAGAATGCTGAAAGTTTCGTTGACTGGTATAGAAGTATAAACAATATACTTTAGTCAAGCGATAGATTATACACCATTGAGCAAGCTCTATCACCAGAGCCTGCTCATAGTTCTATCCATGAGACTAGGTATGTATATGTGAAGCATACACATGATGCAAAAGCATAAATGACTAGATACATTGTGCTTGCATCAATGGCACCATTATTGTGACAACAGTGCCAGAAAATGGATTTAGCTTCTATTCTTTATTTTCTTCAAAGAAATGAGAAGAATATGGTGTCTTGGTCATTATTCAGATGTAGGATGGAAGAGGATACCGAAATTGGCGATCATATACTCAAGTGGACTGAGTATATGAACAAGCTTGAAATTTTGGGATGTGGACTTAAAGAAGGTTTAGCAATAAACCTAATATTATAGTCTTTACCGGATTCTTATTCTCAATTTGGCTATGACTTCATTGAGGAAGATAAGAAGAATACCCTTTCCAAGCTTTGGGATTTGTTGAAGGCTACTGAGTCAGGCATGAAAATGTCAGAAACATTGACGTTGGTTGAAGCCAACTCAAGTGAAAAGGAAAGGGCTCAGAAGTCATAAAAAAGAATTGTTGCAGAAAGGAAAGGCGTTTGTCTTCACTGTGGGAATCCCAGCCACTGGAGGAAACATTGCAAGGCCTTCCTAGCAAAAGAAAAGAAGAATGTCACTTCTTCGTTAGGTACGTTTTTGAGATTA